CTCTGAAGAAGACGAATTGAGCCGAAAACGCGTTTAAAATTCTCTATTTTTCACATGTGGTTATTCCGCATACTTGGATCAGTGTTTCTGTGATCGTCGTTGCATATATATCTATATAAATAAATATGTAAATGTTCGTTTGTTCAAAATCTTAAATCTCGGAAAATTCTTCTCCGATTGCTTTGAAATTTTGACACAACGTTGCATTCGATTACTCGCATGTTTTTATATACCTACTATATACATGCCACACCTGTGACAGGTAAAAACATGTTTTTTTTTAAACTGTGTTTTTCATGTGAGGGAATGATAGGGCGGACGAGGGGGATAGGGGAGGGGGAAATGGTGGGGAGGACGAGGGGACGAGGATTAGGGGGATGATAGGGAGGACTGAGGGACGAGGGGGGCGGGGGGAGGGTCGGGAGTCCTAGAATGGACAGACAATGGAGCAACAAAAAATACTGCATATCCACAAGCATTGTGAAATTAAACATATTAGAAACTTGCGCATTCTCTTATTTTTTTTTTTCATTTAACCCGACTGAGCCACAGCAACGCGTGGTCGGGTACAGCTAGTATGTGTATTATATATGTAATCAGCTTTACATCACATGTGGTAACGTCTTGTCTGATATGACTCTGCTCCACCACACCTGACCTCATACACCTGCATCACAGTGGCGGCTACAACACATACCTGCCACACTCACCCCAGTGGTGGGAGGGGCGTCATAACACACACCTGCAAAGAGACAAAACTGTGTTAAGACTGAGAAACAAACATCACATGTGACATGTTATGACTCACTATAGTGCCGCAGGTATGGTGATGGTGGATGGTGATTATGATGGTGACTGTGATAGTGGATGGTGGTGGCTAAACCGGCGATGGTGCTAAAGGGAGAGAGAAGGCAAAAATTTCTCTCTCTCTCTCTCTCTCTCTCTCTCTCTCTCTCTCTCTCTCTCTCTCTCTCTCTCTCTCTCTCTCTCTCTCTCTCTCTCTCTCTCTCTCTCTCACCCCAGTCTCCGGGGGTAAGTAGTGGTATACACCACTCACGAATAATGCTTCAAAATCTAAATCAAAAGACATGAGAACTTTAATGTTATTAGTTATATATTGACCACAGCTGGCCCACCTATCTTTAATGTAGGGATCATGTGCCCTAAATCTGGGTCAAACATACTGTGAAGATGTTCAACAGGACTGACTGACCCCACACACCAGCCAGTAGCACACACTGTCACAGGTAACAATAACCCTCACGGTACTAAGTGGTACACACACCCATGGTACCGGTGTACCAGGTGGTACTGGCTGCAGTCTTGCGCATTTTCATGACCGCACACGAACCAAATTCCATAAAATCGCAACAAATTGCCAATTTAAGTGGATCATAAATCAGCCAGCGAGGCACTATACACTGCCCTATTTCACAGGGAGGCGCCCTCATGTGATAAAGAAATATTGCCAATTTGAAATCGGTACAAGACGGGCTGGTCCACCACCACCACCACCACCACCAGAGGGACACAGCACACAGTCTGGTGTCACTGACACACCTGCACTTGACCACTGACACACCTGACACCCCTCCCCCCCCTCCCCCCTTTACCCATGAGGTACAACCCCTGCTATGGACACCTATTACTCACCCCCCCCCCCTTATACAGTAATAGTTGAGAGGCGGGGCGAAAGAGCAGAGGTCAACCACAACTAGGTGAACACACACACACACACACACACACACACACACACACACACACACACACACACACACACACACACACACACACACACACACACACACACACACACACAGGCGAGGAGTGTAAGAGACGTTTTGAGACGTTTTGAGAGTTTTGAGACGTTAGAAGGAACTTTTTCAGTGTCAGAGTAGTTAACGGATGGAATGCATTAGGCAGTGATGTGGTGGAGGCTGACTCCATACACAGTTTTAAATGTAGATATGATAGAGCCCAGTAGGCTCAGGAATCTGTACACCAGTTGATTGACAGTTGAGAGGCGGGACCAAAGAGCCAAAGCTCAACCCCCGCAAGCACAAATAGGTGAGTACAAATAGGTGAGTACACACACACAAAACAATGGCTGGAAGCTGGAAACTCAGATGAGTCACAGAGATCTTAGGAAGTTCTCTTTTAGCGTGAGAGTAGTGGGAAAATGGAATGCACTTAAGGAACAGATTGTGGAAGCAAATACTATTCATAGTTTTAAAACTAGATACGATAGGGAAACAGGACCGGAGTCACTGCTGTAAACACCCGATGGCCAGAAAGGCGGGATCCAAGAGTCAATGCTCGATCCTGCAGACACAAATAGGTGAATAGGTGAGGTAGTAGAGTACCCCACACACACACTCCTCGCCTGTTACTGACGTGTTCCCCATCACCCCAGTACCACAGGCAGGCAGCGTAGACCAGCACATATTATGGGAAGGTGTACGTGTACTTAGACGACATTTGCTGATTGTGGCTGTCACCACTAGAGGCCACACCAGGGGCCACACCAGGGGCCACACCAGGGGCCACACCAGGGGCCACACCAGGGGCCACACTAGGGGCTACACCAGAGGCCACACCAGAGGCCACACCCGAGGGCCACACCAGGGGGCCACACCAGGGGGCCACACCAGAGGCCACACCCGAGGGCCACACCAGAGGCCACACCAGGGGCCACACCAGGGGCCACACCAGAGGCCACACTAGGGGCCACACCAGAGGCCACACCAGGGGGCCACACCAGAGGCCACACCAGGGGCCACACCAGGGGCCACACCAGGGGCCACACCAGGGGCCACACCGGGGGCCACACCCGAGGGCCACACCAGGGGCCACACCAGGGGCCACACCAGGGGCCACACCAGGGGGCCACACCAGGGGCCACACCAGGGGCCACACCCGAGGGCCACACCCGAGGGCCACACCAGGGGCCACACCAGAGGCCACACCAGGGGCCACACCAGGGGCCACACCAGGGGCCACACCCGAGGGCCACACCAGGGGCCACACCAGGGGCCACACCCGAGGGCCACACCAGGGGCCACACCAGGGGCCACACCACACTCAACAATCGTAACAAGTGAACAGTGTCGGTATGAAAGGCAACATTTGCGTGCAGGTGTACGAGGCAGGTATTTAGTGTAGCAGGTGTATTGAACACCTGTGAGGTCTCTTCCTAGTGAGCAAGGTTATGCCCCTTAGTCACGGACTTAGCGAATACTGCCACTCGCCCGCTACCCTTAGCGTGTGACCCCACACACACACCTGCTACCCTTAGCGTGTGACCCCACACACACACCTGCTACCCTTAGCGAGTGACCCCACACACACACCTGCTACCCTTAGCGTGTGACCCCACACACACACCTGCTACCCTTAGCGAGTGACCCCACACACACACCTGCTACCCTTAGCGTGTGACCCCCACACACACCTGCTACCCTTAGCGTGTGACCCCACACACACACCTGCTACCCTTAGCGAGTGACCCCACACACACACCTGCTACCCTTAGCGTGTGACCCCCACACACACCTGCTACCCTTAGCGAGTGACCCCACACACACACCTGCTACCCTTAGCGAGTGACCCCCACACACACCTGCTACCCTTAGCGAGTGACCCCACACACACACCTGCTACCCTTAGCGAGTGACCCCACACACACCTGCTACCCTTAGCGAGTGACCCCACACACACACCTGCTACCCTTATAGCGAGTGACCCCACACACACACCTGCTACCCTTAGCGAGTGACCACACACACACCTGCTACCCTTATAGCGAGTGACCCCACACACACACCTGCTACCCTTAGCGTGTGACCCCCACACACACCTGCTACCCTTAACAAGTGAACCCACACACACCCGCTACCCTTATAGCGAGTGACCCCACACACACACCTGCTACCCTTAGCGAGTGACCACACGCACACCTGCTACCCTTAGCGAGTGACCCCTCACACACCCGCTACCCTTAGCGTGTGACCCCACACACACACCTGCTACCCTTAGCGAGTGACCACACACACACCTGCTACCCTTAGCGAGTGACCACACACACACCTGCTACCCTTAGCGAGTGACCACACACACACCTGCTACCCTTAGCGAGTGACCACACACACACCTGCTACCCTTAGCGAGTGACCCCACACACACCTGCTACCCGTATAGCGAGTGACCCCACACACACACCTGCTACCCTTATAGCGAGTGACCCCACACACACACCTGCTACCCTTATAGCGAGTGACCCACACACACCTGCTACCCTTAGCGAGTGAACCCACACACACCTACTACCCTTAGCTAGTGACCCCCCACACACCTGCTACCCTTAACGAGTGACCCCCCACACACACCTGCTACCCTGCCTCACAGATATCTGAGCAGCTTGTGGCAAGCCCACACCTGCCTCACAAGGATCCAGAGTGCTGAGGGCAGCTGTGTCGTGTTGTGAGGCGTAAGATCACCGAGTAAGGGATTCGAACCAGCAGGATAAACTCGTGTCTATATTGCGCTCCCAAAACACTTTCGCATCAGCGTGTGAAGGAGGCAGGGGTATATATATTCAGGTTGTTGGGGGGGGGGGGAGGGGAGGGGGGGGGAGGAGGGGACAGGTGTGTGTGTGGGGGGGGGGAAGGAAGGGGCAGGCAGGTGTGTGTGTGTGTGTGTGTGTGTGCCACTCCAAGGGGCAGCGCGAATGCGGAGAGAAGCTGTGAAATATTAAAGGAGTCTGATGCAATGATAAGAAAAGGTCGGTATCACGGCTGGTGGAGTCACCTGTAGTGCACCCCACACGCAACCTCCACACGCAATGCCACGCCCACACGCAACCTCCACACGCAACGCCACACCCACACTACACCCACAATCACCATTTGTGTGTGTGTGGGGTCACATTTGTTTACAAAATGTCCTAATATGATGTGTATTGACACTGGGCCAGTAAAGGAGTCAGGCTGGTGAACCCCACATCACTGGCGCCAGTGGGACGTTGGTGAATTTGGCGCCAGTGGAACGATGGTGAGTTTGGCGCCAGTGGGACGATGGTGAGTTTGGCGCCAGTGGGACGATGGTGAGTTTGGCGCCAGTGGGACGATGGTGAGTTTGGCGCCAGTGGGACGATGGTGAGTTTGGCGCCAGTGGGACGATGGTGAGTTTGGCGCCAGTGGGACGATGGTGAGTTTGGCGCCAGTGGGACGATGGTGAGTTTGGCGCCAGTGGGACGATGGTGAGTTTGGCGCCAGTGGGACGATGGTGAGTTTGGCGCCAGTGGGACGATGGTGAGTTTGGCGCCAGTGGGACGATGGTGAGTTTGGCGCCAGTGGGACGATGGTGAGTTTGGCGCCAGTGGGACGATGGTGAGTTTGGCGCCAGTGGGACGATGGTGAGTTTGGCGCCAGTGGGACGATGGTGAGTTTGGCGCCAGTGGGACGATGGTGAGTTTGGCGCCAGTGGGACGATGGTGAGTTTGGCGCCAGTGGGACGATGGTGAGTTTGGGGCCAGTGGAACGATGGTGAATTTGGCGCCAGTGGGACGATGGTGAGTTTGGCGCCAGTGGGACGATGGTGAGTTTGGCGCCAGTGGAACGATGGTGAATTTGGCGCCAGTGGGACGATGGTGAGTTTGGCGCCAGTGGGACGATGGTGAGTTTGGCGCCAGTGGGACGATGGTGAGTTTGGCGCCCGTGGAACGATGATGAGTTTGGCGCCAGTGGGACGATGGTGAGTTTGGCGCCAGTGGGACGATGGTGAGTTTGGCGCCAGTGGGACGATGGTGAGTTTGGCGCCCGTGGAACGGTGATGAGTTTGGCGCCAGTGGGACGATAGTGAGTTTGGCGCCAGTGGAACGATGATGAGTTTGGCGCCAGTGGAACGATGATGAGTTTGGCGCCAGTGGGACGATGATGAATTTGGCGCCAGTGGAACGATGATGAGTTTGGCGCCAGTGGGACGATGGTGAGTTTGGTGCCAGTGGAACGATGATGAGTTTGGCGCCAGTGGGACGATAGTGAGTTTGGCGCCAGTGGGACGATAGTGAGTTTGGCGCCAGTGGAACGATGATGAGTTTGGCGCCAGTGGGACGATGGTGAGTTTGGCGCCAGTGGAACGATGATGAGTTTGGCGCCAGTGGAACGATGATGAGTTTGGCGCCAGTGGGACGATAGTGAGTTTGGCGCCACTGGCATTATACACAATTTAAGAAACGGATGAATAACTCTTCCAGAGGCATTGAGAGTTTAGGATTGAGACAAATATAGTGTTTAAGGCACAGTTTTGTCCTAATCTGGACTATGTAACAAGGCCGTTTTTGAACAGAAATCATGTGAGGAGAATAACAACATTCTGAAAACATGAACAAATGAACACAAATGAGCAAGAAGAATGGAACAAGATGTTCTTGAAATGTTATTGGGTCCCTCGACTCGGGGTTGGGCACAGTGATGTTTATGACCAGATGAGTCACAGAGCCACAGAGCCACAGAGCCACAGAGACACAGAGCCACAGAGACACAGAGCCACAGAGCCACAGAGCCACAGAGACACAGAGACACAGAGCCACAGAGACACAGAGCCACAGAGCCACAGAGACACAGAGACACAGAGACACAGAGCCACAGAGCCACAGAGACACAGAGCCACAGAGACACAGAGCCACAAAGACACAGCGCCACAGAACCACAGACACACAGCGCCACAGAGTCACACAGTCACAGAGCCACAGAGTCAGACAGTCACAGAGCCACAGGAAAACGTCACAGGACTAACAAGAGACTGTCTGTCTGTCATTTTAACAAATGTCATTTCAGAAGGACGCTAGTGGAACACAAGGCATGAGTCAGTGTCGACGAGGCCAGAGCCCTCTTTCCCTTATCCAGTAACTACCTCCCCACTCACCCCACATCCCCCCCTCCCCTCCCTCCTCCCCTCTCATCCCCTCTTGCAATCTTTCCTCTCGTTATGGAGCACAATAGTGGCTCTATATGTCCCCTCCTTCCCTTCACCCCCCGCGAAGCATTTCCCTATAATATTTCCATCAAGACTTTGATGGAAATATCCTCCGTCTTCACTCAACTGCTGTGGTAAGCTCCCCTCTCCCTCTCTCTCACGCCCTCCCTCCCCCCCCTTCCCTGGTCCGTGATGTGCCAGGCCCGCTCCCGGTCCATGGACCGGGGCGGCTCCCTCTCGCTTCTGGTCCATGGACCGGGCCCCCTCCAGCGCCGTCCCCAGCAGACAATCCAAGCGAGGCATTAAACGAGCCTCTAAGCCGTCCAGGATTACCGTGTCTGCTTAACTTGACAGCGCGAGGTCTGCAGCCCCTGGCGGAGGAGAGGTGCCACACACGAGGAAAGAGGATAAGGGACTTGACGAACCACGGACTCCCGGAGCCACACCCTCAAGGAGCCACACCCTCAAGGAGCCACACCCCTCAAGGAGCCACGCCCTTCAAGGAGCCACACCCCTCAAGGAGCCACACCCCTCAAGGAGCCACACCCTCAAGGAGCCACACCCCTCAAGGAGTCACACCCCTCAAGGAGCCACACCCCTCAAGGAGCCACACCCCTCAAGGAGCCAGACCCCTCAAGGAGCCAGACCCCTCAAGGAGCCACACCCCTCAAGGAGCCACACCCTCAAGGAGCCACACCCCTCAAGGAGCCACACACTCAAGGAGCCACACCCCTCAAGGAGCCACACCCCTCAAGGAGCCACACCCCTCAAGGAGCCACACCCCTCAAGGAGCCACACCCCTCAAGGAGCCACACCCTCAAGGAGCCACACCCCTCAAGGAGCCACACCCCTCAAGGAGCCACACCCTCAAGGAGCCACACCCTCAAGGAGCCACACCCTCAAGGAGCCACACCCCTCAAGGAGCCACACCCTCAAGGAGCCACACCCTCAAGCCACACCCTCAAGGAGCCACACCCCTCAAGGAGCCACACCCTCAAGGAGCCACACCCCTCAAGGAGCCACACCCTCAAGGAGCCACACCCTCAAGCCACACCCTCAAGGAGCCACACCTTCAAGCCACACCCCTCATGGAGCCACACCCTCAAGCCACACCCCTCAAGGAGCCACACCCCTCAAGGAGCCACACCCTCAAGGAGCCACACCCCTCAAGGAGCCACACCCCTCAAGGAGCCACACCCTCAAGCCACACCCCTCAAGGAGCCACCCCCTCAAGGAGCCACACCCTCAAGGAGCCACACCCCTCAAGGAGCCACACCCCTCAAGGAGCCACACCCTCAAGGAGCCACACCCTCAAGGAGCCACACCCTCAAGGAGCCACACCCTCAAGGAGCCACACCCCTCAAGGAGCCACACCCTCAAGGAGGCACACCCTCAAGCCACACCCTCAAGGAGCCACACCTTCAAGCCACACCCCTCAAGGAGCCACACCCCTCAAGGAGCCACACCCTCAAGGAGCCACACCCTCAAGGAGCCACACCCTCAAGGAGCCACACCCTCAAGGAGCCACACCCTCAAGCCACACCCTCAAGGAGCCACACCTTCAAGCCACACCCCTCAAGGAGCCACACCCTCAAACCACACCCCTCAAGGAGCCACACCCCTCAAGGAGCCACACCCTCAAGGAGCCACACCTTCAAGCCACACCCCTCAAGGAGCCACACCCTCAAGGAGACACACCTTCAAGCCACACCCCTCAAGGAGCCACACCCCTCAAGGAGCCACACCTTCAAGCCACACCCCTCAAGGAGCCACACCCCTCAAGGAGCCACACCCCTCAAGGAGACACACCTTCAAGCCACACCCCTCAAGGAGCCACACCCCTCAAGGAGCCACACCCTCAAGGAGCCACACCCTCAAGGAGCCACACCCCTCAAGGAGCCACACCCCTCAAGGAGCCACACCCCTCAAGGAGCCACACCCTCAAGGAGCCACACCCTCAAGGTGGCTCCCTATCTATTCATGTGTATATACAAGAGTTGTTACATTCTTGTGCAGCCTCTAGCACGCGCAGCGTTTCGGGCAAGTCCTTAATAATCCGAATTTTTCCCCGGAATGCGACCCCCGCCAAATCGTTTAGCAACCAGGTAGCCAGTCACTGCTGGGAGGGGGGGGGAACAGAGGCTACAGTTAAAGAGTTCTTAACCGTAGGATACGAACCCAGGCCAAAGCACTCGCTAAGCGCCGGGCGAGTGTCTTACCATTACGCCACGGGGACTACTCGCGGAGGCGCAGGAGACGTGTGCCAACCTCAGCTAGAAGCTCCCCGCCACACACACACACACGCACACGTACACACACACACCCCCACACACACACACACATCCAGTTGATTGACAGTTGAGAGGCGGGACCAAGGAGCCAAAGCTCAACCCCCGCAAGCACAATTAGGTGAGTACACACACACACACACACACACACACACACACACACACACACACACACACACACACACACACACACACACACACACACACACACACACACACACACACAGAGGGAGGGTGGGGCCAGGGGAATCACCACGGGATTTCGGGAAGAAAGCCAGGGATCTGAGGGACAGCTGAGGGGCGGGGCAGGCCCCCCAGGCCACAGACGTGTATCATACTGGAGTGTGAGACTCCGTCCAGCGCCCCTCAAGGGCTCGGTGTCTCCTCCTCCCTCTCTCTCTCTCCGGTGCCCCTCATCTACTGAGGGGCCAGGAAGAGGGGGGGGTGAAGAGGGCCAGGAACAAGAGAGGGGTGTAGAGAGGACCAGAAGCAATTCCTACAGACAGATGCTGATCCCCATAGACACCAATATCTCACCGAAGGGAGGGGGGCTGTCTGGGGAGGGGGAGAGGAAGGAGGGGGGCTGTCTGGGGAGGGGAGACAGAGGGGGAGGCTGTCTGGGGTGGGGGTGAGGGGTGGGGTTAATATATCTGGGAGGGGAACTGAGGAGGAAACGAAATTAGGAGTTGAAAGCACTAAGCCACAATGATCATTTATCACTGGGAAGGGATATGATGCCAGTGTTAGGAGGGTGGGAGGGAGACAGACAGAGGCGCCTCCTCGTTGTCACAGTCAGGTAAGCACAGTTAGACACACACGCCCCCCCCCCCCCTCCCACCTCCTCAACGGCTCATAGCTTAACAACTTTGAGCACCATCAAAGCTCCAGCCCCAGCCACTACGTCAAACGCCGCCAGAGCACAACCTGAACACCCGCAGCTGTGATTTGGACGCTGCTGTCCGCTGTCTGACGACTAACAGCCTGTTTGACCAGGCTGGGTCAAACAGGCTGGGCCCGCCTCTCAACTTTCAATCAATTTTTTTTTTCATTTTTTTTTAGATGAGTCAAATACGGTGGTGGGTGGTGGCTGAGCGGACAGTGCTCTAGACTCGTGGACCTAGGGGCCGGGGTTCGATCCCCCAGCACCGCCGGAAAACCAAATGGGCAGGGTTTCCTTCACCCTGAATGCCCCTGTGACCTAGCAGTAAATAGGTACCTGGGAGTTAGTCAGCTGTCACAGGCTGCTTCCTGGTGTGTGTGTGTGTGTGTGTGTGGTGTGTGGGAAAAAAAGAGTTAGTAAACAGTTGATTGACAGTTGAGAGGCGGGCCGAAAGAGCAAAGCTCAACCCAAGCAAACACAACTAGGCGAATACAACTAGGTGAATACACACATACACACACGTCGGGACCAAAGAGCTAAAGATCAACCCCCGCAAGCACAAATAGGTGAGTACACACACACACACACACCTGTCCCCTGAAGCTCATATCAAGAGGATAACAGCAGCAGCATATGCCAGGTTGGCTGACATAAGAACGGCCTTTGGAAACTTGTGTAAGGAATCTTTCAGAACATTATATACCACATATGTCAGACCAATCCTGGAGTATGCGGCTCCACCATGGAGTCCATATCTAGTCAAGCATAAGACTAAACTGGAAAAGGTTCAAAGGTTTGCCACCAGACTAGTACCCGAGCTGAGAGGTATGAGCTACGAGGAGAGACTACGGGAATTTAACCTCACTTTGTTGGAAGACAGAAGAGTTAGGGGGGACATGATCACCACATTCAAGATTTCCAGGGAATCGACAGGGTTGATAAAGACAGGCTGTTTAAAACAAGAGGCACACGCACTAGGGGACACAGGTGGAAACTGAGTGCCCAAATGAGGTATGAGCTACGAGGAGAGATTACGGGAATTAAACCTCACTTCGTTGGAAGACAGAAGAGT